GTACCCTGTCTGTGGACCCCACACCTTGGACAGAAGCAGCAAGGAGTTGGGGCCTGGACTCCTGGGTCCAGTGAGTCAGTGGTGGTTTCCAGGAAAAGAGGAAGTTCCAGGTTCCCATGCCCACCCCGAAGGAGGGTGGAGCTGAGCAGAGAAGAGAAGAAATTAGGAGAAGAAGGAAGCAGGATGGAGAGCCAGAAGGACCTGAGGGAGCCACATGGAGCAGAGACATGTGAAGAAACTGAGTTTGCTTCTTGGCCCTGGACTGGTTGAAAGTGATGTGGGTGAGAGACCCGTGGAGAGGTTGACTATGGCAGCTTTTATCTTCATTTTGATTTTGCTTTTTTCCTCCCAGACTTGTCTGGCCATGTCTGACCCTTTTCTATGGGTCCTGGCCAGAAGGTGCCTTAGTCTTGTGACAGGCTTTCAGGCCTTGCTTTGGGCCAATCCCTCTTGGGTGGACTTTTACCCATGAGGGGATGGGGAACTTTGGGTTTGATTTAGAAACTATATTCTTTGTCTTTTCTGTATTGCACACTCATTGTATTAAAGTTCCTTTCCATTAAAGCTTTTATGTCTTGTCTTAATGCGGCAGATGGCGGAACCTATTTAGAGCAGGCAGGTTTGGGGGTTCAGTGGTGCCCCTGTAGCAGTAGCACTGTAGCAGTAGCACTGCTTTACAGAGAAAGGGCGGCAGAGTAGTGCAACGCTCTGACTGGACCATCCTCCCTCCTCACCAGCCGATGCTGAGTTTTTGGATTCCAACTGCAACTCCCTTCCTCACCTGCAGCCAGTTTAACAAAAAAGATAAACAAGCACAGCAACCCAGCTGGACAAACAAACAAACAAAAAAACCACACACACACACAGGCCCGGGAGACAAGGAACATCTGAACACAAAGATGGAACAGCTGAGGCAGAGGAGAATTCTAGAGACCTATATAAAGGACACAGATTTCTAGGAGCTCCGGGCCTGAGAGTTTAGAATAACAACTTTTTAAAAACTCAGTGAAGTCCCAGCAGGGCAGTCAGTAAATACAGGAATCAGGCACAGGATCTTAGAAAAGAGATCCAGGAACAAAACTAAAGACACTGAAGATATTTTAAAAATGCAAAAAGAGATGTTGGATGAAATGAGGACAAACATGGAAAGCATATTAAATAGACTTAAGCTGGCAGAAGAGAGAATTCTGGACATTGAAGTTTCGAAAGTACAAATGACTCAAGTGAAGGAAAGAGAGAAATAAGATCTAGGAGAAATAAACTCTAACAGAAATATCAGACTCCATTAGAAGAAGAAACCATATGATCCAGCAATACTATTTCTAGATATTTACCCACAGAATGTGAAAGCACTATCTCGGAGACACCATGCCCAAGTCCACCACAGCGTGGCCCTCGCAGGTTGCTGGGCCCACCTGAGTGTCCAGCCACAAGCAACTGTCTAAAGAGACCATGGGGCATGTAGTCCATGGAGTAGTACTCAGCTGTTTTAAAAGATGAAAGAGTGCCTTTGTGGGCAAAATGGAGGGATGTTGAGGTGATGATCATGTGAAGTGAAATAGGTCAGAAAGTAAAAGACAGTTACTGGATGGTTTCATTCATTATGGAATATAAATAACCCAAAACCAAACAAAGATCTCCAAAACAACAGGAATAATTCCTAGAGTCTGTGAAAAATATACTGGTTGCCAGGGGGTAGGGGAGGGAGTTATACTTCCAAGACATTATAGCTAGGATACAAGGGGCAAATCAAAACTTGAGAGGGAAGAGAAAGTTCTTTGAAGTGGACAAATCACTTTCTACGGGTCCTTTTCCTCACTGACGAATTGGGTAGAGGCCTGCTGCTGCTCTGAACAGGTCCTCTGAATGGCTTTCTAAAGAGCCAGGTGCAGTAGCACCTCTGGGAGCCCAGACAGAAGTCCCTGGGGAAACTCTGAGGGGCTTCGTGCCACATCCCCTCCCTGAGGGACATGGTGGAAAGACTGAGGTTCTCCCAGATCACAGACTGGGGCTCCCGGAGCCGTGGCTGGCCGCTGAGTCAGCAAAGGACTTCTAAGGGCTGGTGGTACAGAAAAATGATGTAAACCTAGTTTTATGGAAAACAATGCTAGAAATGTGACAGAGCAAAAAAAAAAAATGTAATTCTGGAAAAGTGTTGCTTTTTTTTTTTAGGAGTTAGTCCTTGGTAGCTCATTTGACGCCATCTCTATTTTGGGTGGCCTGTTTTACTAGCAGGCCAGTCATGTTCCACAAATATCTGTGTTTAAGTGTATAAAGAAATGAAAAATAAGGTTACTTTTGGGAACATCTGGGCAATTCTGACCCTCCTCTGGCTTGCCCAGAACCCTAGTCCCCGTGAAGCCTGAAGGCCACCACCCAGCAGGCCCAGCCTGGATGGGCTGGGTTGGGGACAAAGTGGGAGGCTTGGCAGGCTTGTGGCCTGAGGGTCTCATTTGGTGGAGAGAGGAGGCAGGGGTGGTGATCTACCCATCTCCTTGGGGTCCAGAGACAAGATGGTGCTGGCCAGGTGGGATGGAAGAGACTGGCAGGGAAAGGGAAAGGGGAGGACAGTCCTTAGGCATGCCTGCGGGAAGCAGCAGTGGGCGTGACAGGGTGGGGTGGTCAAGGGGAAGGTCAGGACTCTAGTGTACTGAGACCCTCCACAGAGGATGTCCATGGCCAGGACTGCAGACCTGGAGGAAGGGGTAGCATGCAGTGAATGGCCGTGGGCTTAGCTCTTGGACTCTTCTAGCAACCTTTCTGTTTTATTGCTGATGGCTGACTGCAGGTCAGTAGTCAAGTTAGAATCCAAACCTGGTCTGAACACAAAGCTGTGCTCCTGGTCTGTTGGAACAGCATGGAGGGCTGGTGGGGGGTGAAGACCAGGATAAGCAAGTGGGGTCTCTTTGGACCCATGAGGGGAAACTCTCCAAGCTGGGCACTGACCCTGGCCTGCTAGGGCGAGAATGTGTATGGGAAGCATCAACAAGAAGGGGGTGTTGGGCAAAGCTTTGCAGGATTTTGAAGTATCTGATGATGTTCTGCCAGAGGCCTTGAGGCTGGCGGTCTCTGTAGATGAGGTGAGTGCTCCCAGGAGGGGTCTGAGGCTCTTCATCTTCTCTCGCTGGGTGCACCAGCCACCAGAATGTGATTGCCCCTATGCTGCTGCAGAGGGGACAGTGCCCAGCAGGGGGAGTCAGGACAACCACAGGAGAGTGGCACTGAACAGAGTGTCACGTGAGGACAAGTGCTTGCTGGAAGGTTTTGGGGGTGAGGATCCAGATGGAGTATGCAGGTAGCAGCCTGCCAGGCCCACCCCTGTGAAAGCTGGTCACAGCTGGGGCATCAGGTGGAGGCACAGCAAGGGGGACGAGGGGATGGCATGGAAGGAGCTGGCTGGCAGTGGCCAGCTGGGAGGGGTGTGGCCAAATCCAGAGACCTGAGGAACAAGTCAGATGTGGGCGGGTACCCCTGGCTGCTGGGGCCGAGGGCCGCGTCACAAAGGGAGGCAGAGCCAGTGCAGGGGGGGCCATGTGTGGCTAGTACCCTGCAGGGCCTCAGGCTCTGTGAGCCTTACAAGCCCCTTCACTGTGAATGGAAGCAGGCAGAGGGGACCCCACCTGAGGGGTGGTACTCCTGCCATGGCGAACTGAGTGCCCCAACCCAGACAGAAGGGGGCTCTGCCACTGATTCCCAGCAAATGCTTGCAAGGGGCTGAGGCTGGGAGGGCGAGCACAGACCTTCCCAAACTGGCTTTCTCTTGGAACCTGTATGTGCCCCTCAAATGGAGTGGGCTTTGTTATTAAAAAGGGGGAAGGGCGACCATTCGGAAAGCGGTCTCTTTCCATCTGAAGGCTGGGGTTCTACTGGGTAGCTGTTTCTGTCTCTCACTCTGTGCTAACTCAGCCCACACCCTCAAATATAGAACGCTCTCGTCATACCTGCCTCCTGGGCTGCCCACCGTCTCTGGGCTTTCTGCTCTGCCCTTCTCTCCAGGCAGCTGGGGGCAGGAAGCTGCGTTCTACAGCCTCACCAGGACAGGTACAATATCAATATCCAGATATAGATGGAAGGGGGAAGAAAAGAAACCTTTGGCTTTGCGGTCTGAGCTACTGGCTCCAATGAAGCTTTAAGTCTTGCAAGTGCTGCCACAGACACTGGGTGAGCCCCTGCTCACCGCGAGGCTGGGTGTCCCCTCACTGCGAGGCAGAGTCCTGCCCCTCACAGCACCTGCCACAGCCAGCCCATCCTCAGCATAATGGAGCCATTTCCATGAAAAAGCGAATGGCCTCATGATCTCAGGAGGACCCCAGAAGCCTGAAGCGGTCTCCTGTCTCACGGGGCAGAGCACTATCGTGCAATGTGCCACTGGCATGTGTGGCAAGTCCTTAAGAGACAACTGGACTGGCCTGAATGAAAACACCTGGGCCAAGATGGGGAAGGACAAAGGTGACAGCTGAGCACTGCAGGTCCTTGGGGGAGTCGGCTCTGAAGACCCTGCGGGGCAATTGTGGCATCTGGATATGGGCTGCTATTAGCTGCTGCTGCTGCAAAGCTGTTTGGGGGTGTAATGGGGTTTCTTTAGAACATGTCATTCTTAGGGTACACTGGAATCTAGTGCTGTGTGGGTTGTAAGCGACTTCCCAAGGTTTCAGGAAAACCTGTTTGAGTTGTGTCCTTGCATGTCCAGAGGCAGAGAGCCTGTGTGACACAATGGAGGTGAGACCAAGTGACTGTGGGTGCCACACGCTGCCTTCACCTCGTCACAGAAACACGTGCCTGCATTCTGCAGTTTCACCTGCAGCTGCTTCACCTCTCAAACAGTGCGATCAATGAGCAAGCCTCCGTCACTCCTGCACAGCTTCTGAGTAAGGCAGCAGCAGCAGCAGCTCTCGCCTGGCTCGGCAGGCCCGGTCGGCGCGGACCCCTGCGCCCCCATGCTTATGCTGCTCACTGAGTACACCCGCAGGGAGCTCCCACAGACCACAGCACACCGCGCCTCCTTTTCAGGGTTTATTTCATCGCTAACATTCATTCCTGACCTAGACAAAAACAATTAGATGATTATGACTTGCTTTTCCATCATCAACTTTTTTTTCTATGAATAACCAAAAAATTTCTTCTCAACACTTTTATTTTTTAATAAGAAGCTATAAATAAATAAAGCTTTAAATGCTCCTGGGTTCAAGTTAAACGCTTCCAGTTCCCAAAAAGTTCACAGACTCATTGCTCAGACAACTCTGCTGTCCCAGGCTCCCCTTGAGGACACTCGCGGGCCTGTGCGGGGAGCAAGCTGTCATTTGTCCTCTCAGCCCCAGATGGGGTGGTCCCCTGTCATGGCGCCCCCGCCCGCGGCACTGTGGGCGATGCTGCAGGGCCCTCCCCTGCAAGGCAGGTGGCTGGGTGGAAGTGCTGGCTCAGACTCGGGGCTGAGGGCCCTGCCAACCGTGCTGCCTGGGGCCACGTGCTCCTAGGTGCTGGCGCGAGGTGGAGCCCCACTCCAGATGCTGCGAAACAACCAAGGAGAGACCCATGTTTCCATCTGAATTGGGACAACGGGCCATAAGTTAAATCATTCCAATATGTACAAAACAGATCCTAGGCTCAGGCCAACTCACAGGAAGTCCTCAAGGGGCATCTGGAGCCAGGCTGCAGGCCGGGTGCCCAGGGGCTTGGGTAGAGCAGGGCTGAGCTTTCCACTTGCACCTCGAGTCACCTCCTGCCAGGAGGCCCCACGGGTACCTGTGGGCCCAGCACTCTGGAGAACATGCCCTGCCCTCCCCCACGGGCACAGCCACCCAGGTGAACCTCAGAGCTGCTCTCCACCGCCTTCTGAGAGTCAGTCAGTCACCAGTGCGTCCTCAGCAGGACACCCACCCACCCTGGGAGCTCGTCCCCGGCTGGGCTAGGCTGGGCTGGCGCTCCTACTGCTATCTGTGGCCTGCGAGGTGAAAGGACCAGTAGGAAGCTGGGAGGCAGGGCCCGTAAGCTAGAGAAGACTGGAGCTCTTCCTCCCAGGCAGGCAGCCACTGCGTTTAGCACTTTAGCTTCTCCTGGCTCCCATGCCTTCACTCCAGGGTGGGATGGCTGGGCCCAGTGTGATGGCAGGCAGGGAAAAAGGGCCTTGGTGGGTTCTATTTTCTCCAGGTGGCTCTCACTGCCCTGTCTGAGACAGGGTGGGGAGGGCTCATAGAACCCAGGCCGTGTTTGGCCCACTCCTGTGGGGAGGGCAGGCCCCGGAGAGGCCTTGAGCACAGGAATGACAGGGCATGGGAGAGGGTTACTAGGACATGGAACATGGCTTCTCCAATCTGCAGGCTGCAAGGAACAGGCCCTGACCAGCTGGGGTGGGGTGCAGGGAAATTTGGTGAGAGCCTGAGGGGTGGAGGAAGGCTGGACATCTGGGTAGCAGCGAGCAACCCAGAGCTGTTTCTCCCAACCCTAATTGAGAATTTAAAAGTGAGAGGCCCCTTCCCTGGCCATCGATCACCCCAAATATGGCTCATGGGTAGATGTCACTTTCCGGCTGATGGAGGCCTGATGGTCACTCACAGGGAACGTGAAGCAGTGGGTCTGTGCCCTGAACAATGCCCAAGCCATGGGGCAAAAGGTCAGAGGAGGCTGGGGACACGGGGAGTTCTCTCGGCTTGGGGGAGCCTCAGACACAGGCGCCAGCCTCCCATGCCTGGGGTGCCACTACCCATGGCGTGGGGTCTTGCAGAGTGGGGCCACCTCCCCACAGCCCTTTCCAGTTTGAGGACTCTAAGAAGTGGGGTAGGGTCACCCGGCTGGTGTGCTTTGATTTCCTGGCCCAAAGCATGAAGCCAGATCTGGATTTTTATTTTGGACTGGGGAAGGGAGTGGACTTCCTAGAGGCTGGACTAGACCTTCTGGGCTTCAGAAGGTTGGGCCCTGACCTTGCAGATGGGGAGGCTAGGGTGCTCTGTTGCTGATGACACCTCAAGAGCTGACTGTACTGAGGGAGGGGTGCTTCACGTGGGCCCTGTGGCGTCAGGGCACTGGAGAGTTGCCCAGATGGCCTGAGCCTGGGAAGGTGCTTGGAGTTGGTGTCGAACTGGTCTGGGGAGTAAGAGTGGGGGTGTGCATAGTGAGTGTGGGGTGCGTGCCTGCCTGGCAGGTCCGTCTCCACTCTCAACCCGACCGACCTTTCCTCTTCAAACCCTCAGTGGTTGAGGTGGGGCTGGGGGTGGGTGCCACTCGCTGACTTGTGCAGGCTGCCTGGGGTGTCCTTGGGCACGCTCCTCAGCGTGGCACTGGTGGGTTTCTCAGACCCCTGGCATGGGAGATGGCACCACCCCTGCCCATCACTGCTCCCCACTCCATCCTTTCTCAGGACGCAGCTACCTTGGGCGAGCAAAGCAACGTGGGACGCATATCCCGCAGAGTTTGGGGTGGGCCGAGTGTGCTGGGCCGTCTGTCTCTCCTCCCTCTCCCGCCCGCCCTGCCGCGGCCGCCACTACCACTTCTCAATGATGTGGCTCATGTAGTCCTCGGTGGGCACGCGGCCCGGCTCCTCGGCCTCCTCCCGCGGCAGCGCCTCCTTGGCCCGGTGCAGCAGGCGCTCCTCGCGGCTCTTGAGGCGCTGCTCCCGGCGCTCCAGCTGCCGCTTGTACTGGTAGCGCTGCTGGAAGAGGTCCTTGGCGTAGTCGTAGAGCTGCATGTCCAGGTCGTTGAGCTCCTCGATACGCCGGATGGTGTCCTCGTCCACTTCGACACCGCCTGCCCGCGTGCTGTTGTACTGCATGAAGGGCCGGATGAACTTGAGGTTGAACGTCCGCTCAAACAGGTACTGCGTCTTGCGCTGGAACTCCGTGAGGCCGAAGAAGGCCATGCCCCGCAGGTTCTTCTTGGCGCTCTCCAGCAGCAGCTGGGAGCGCTTGCCCTCCGGGATGAAGGACAGGTTGTAGCAGCCCACCAGGCTCAGGTCAGCCAGCATGCGCACCTGGCGGTTGTTGGCCAGGTTGTAGGGGCAGTCCATGAACTCCTGCAGCGTGCAGCCCGACCAGTCTGTGCCCTCGTAGCAGGGGGGCAGCTCCTCGGGCGTGGGTGTGCGCCCGTCGCACATGTGCAGCGAGGTCTTCCAGGTGGCCCCCCGCTGCACGTGCCGCCACTCGCTCAGGTAGCGCGACACGGGGTCCCGAAGCAGAGTGATGTAGTAGAACTTCCTGCAAGGAAACGGGACAGTGGTCAGGTGAGGTGAGCGGGGGTGTGCATGGGCGGCAGCTGGCCAATGCTCTGGAGGGAAGGGAGTAGCAGGTGAGGGCCCCAGTGTGGGACCCCAGGGAAGGTACATCACCTCTGATCCTACATTTCACTCTCCAAATGACTGCTTTTGAATGAGACCCAGGATCTGGGATGACCTGCCATGGGCAAAGAGCCATCATCAAACTGTCCTTCAATGTGACCACCAGTGTCCTCGGGGCAGTTGGCCAAACTGTCTTCCTGGCCCAGGTCTCCCGCTGAGCCCCCTGGGAACTCCTGCCTGCCCTGCTGGGGGTGCACTGGGTGGCCCAGTGCCCACTGTACCTGGAACCGATGGCTTAAAGAGAGTCACAGTGACAGGCTCAGACCACCAAGAGGCGATTCAGCAGAAGCCATTGGAAGTCCTAGGCTACAGCATGGCAGGCTGTGGTCGGGGCCCCCCCACCCTACTCTGGGCTCCAGTGGAGGGTACAAGAGGTGACCTAGAGGAGGTTCCCTGGTGAACTCAGTTCATCATCTGTGTTATTCCCAGGGCCTGTTTCAACCTGTGGAGGCAGGCACCCAGCACCTCTCCACACAGCATGGAAGGGGAGACATGAGTCTCGAAGGCGCCGCCTCCCTCTTCCCCTGTGTGTGTGACAGGTACTGACCCGAAAGCTCAGGACCCCGTGGCCATGGGCTAGGCAGCTGTCAGATTCTTGACAGGACTCACCAGAGGCATCCACACGGCTCCCTCCTCATTAAGGCCCAACAAAAGCACCCAACCCCACCACTGCTGACACTGAGGAAAATTTGCCCTCAGAGCCCTGGCCCAGCTGTCGTGATCCGATTCCTTTAACTTGCCTTAAAAGGCTTGTTTTCCGCAGATGCAGGAAAGAAGAACCGCGTGTTAGCCACGCACGGGTGGGTGACAACTTGTTCTTGGGTGGCCTCTCGGCCAGCGACAACCACACACAACCAGCCAGAATACAACCGAGAGCACCGGCAGGAGAAGCCATCAAGTTCACTCAAAAACTGAGGTGCAGCAATGAGGAGATTTGGTGAAAGGGCCAAGATCTCAATTTTATGGGCTGAACTGGGAGTAGACAATTATAATTTATCATATTTTTCTTATTCCTAACCTCATTTTAATCCTTTAAACCTCATTTAATCCTGAAGTGGACAGAGACAGATGTGAGGTTTTCCCTGTCTCTTTACAGTCAGCTGCTCAATAAAACCTTTGCTTCCCTCAAGAGCCAACGCCATTTTATTGCTTCGATGCATGTTGAGCAGTGAAATCTTGCCTATGGGAGGCCTTCTGGGGGCACAGAGCCCACTGCCAGTGCCATGACTGACCACATCTCCAAGGGGAGGGGCCCTGAAGGCAGCCGGTGGTAACCAGTGAGGGCAAAGGCTGCCGCTCCAGCCTAAGGGGGGCCGATCTGGAAAACTTCAGTGTTCTGAAGCACTTTCTTAGGTTATTTGGGCCCCCCTAAAGGGCCTGGGGGGAGGTGCCTAGGTGACGGTTCCAAGTCTGGGCAGCTATTGACCCCTGGCTGTCCCCATAACCCTCAGATTCTGGCATGCCCGAGGAGAACAGGTGCGAACTAAGACTGAGGGGAACCCTGCCTGAGGGGCAGCGTCACCTGTCTCCCAGGTTCTTCTCACAGCCCAGAGAGGGTGTGTGACTTAGCCAGGCATCTAGCAGGCTATGAGGCAGGTGGGAGGGAAGGGGGAGCCCATGCTAGCTGACTTTAGGACGCACTGTGCCTGGGCAGAGTGCTAGATCATTGAAGTCTGGGCGCCCCATGGATGGGATTGCCGAGAGGGCACCTGTGTTGGTATAGTGGGCAGGTTCCAGGTGGTTGGCAGGATCCCGCTGCTCCTTGTAGTTTCCTGCCCGGGCTCCCTGGCAGAGCTGATCTGATCTGCTGGGCTCATGCTGAACCCTGCAGCTCCCTGTCAGTGCTGGGGGACTTGCCTTGCTGCTCACTGCATCCCTAGATGCTGGCTGGGCTGCACAGAGCACACCTATGACAGGAGTGACTGGCAGGGAGTTAGGATAGGGCATGCTGCCCCTCACAGTTCTGGCACTCCAATTCTGTCTTCCAGACATTGTCTGCAGTGGATACAAAGGGCCCAGGTCACCGCCCAACTCCTAACTAGTCAGCAAGGGAGTTCCTCTTGGCACACACCTGTAGTCTGTCGACTTCCTCAGGAGTTCAGCCACCTGATTCTCTCTACTGCCTCACCTACTCTGGCTCTCACTGCCGCCACAACAGCCTGTGCCACACAGCCCTGCCAAGAAGCCTTCTTTCCCATCTCCCTTCATCTGCCCTTTTTGGCCATACATATACCTGAAACATCAGGCCGCTAGGTTTTGGCTTACTGTCTATGGAAAGAGGAAGCATGGGAGTGACCACAGTGGGCAGACAGCTGAAGGTGGCATAGATCAGAAGACTAAAGATTGACCCTCCACATCAGGTAGCTCCCTGTCCAGGACAAGAACTGATGTGTATTCTCCAAGATGCTCATGACTCAGCTATGAGACTGGGCAGGGGCAAAGTCTATGGTGTCCCAGGCCCTGCCCAGAAATGCCAGACAACTGCCACCAGAAAAATCTAACTTTCTGCCTCATGACACAGCAGGGTCTCTGCTCTAGAGCAAAGCACTTCCTGTATTGACATCTGGCACCCCCCACCCCCAACACACACAAAATAGGGTGTTCTGCCTATCATGCTTCAGCAGGATCTACTAGGTGATCTCAGTGCTAATCAGCAAGGTTTCCAGGAAAAGGGGAGGAGATGGTAACATGAAACCAAAAATTGGAGTATGTAACTCAGAGTGCAGTGGCTCACAGGGCCCAGAAAATGAACAGAAAAACACATAATAGACAGGACTGGTCATCAGGATGGAACCTAACTTCTCTATAACAACAACACATTTTAAAAATCAACAGATTAATAGCTTCCACAGGCTGAGGGAAAGTGACCAACTAGATAGCAAGCCCAGTGAAACAATCAACCAGTGTGAGGGAAGAGGAGAGATATTTTAAGACATGCAGGGATTTAGGCAATCTATTTTTCATGAATGCTGTTTTTGGAAGACATTGGAGAGTGCGTCTCTTTTTACAAAATAAGAAAACAAAACAAGCAAGGGAGCCAGGAGCCCCAAACCAGAAGAAAGCCATGATGGCAGCTGTGAACCCTGCTGGGCCTACTGGTAGCAGAGGGATGGGAGTCCCAGGGGAAAAAAAGGCATAAAGCGATCACCTGACACAGCACAGTGTTTGTGGGAAAAAAGAATGGTAGGTATATGCAGACCTCTGGAATCCCTTGGAAAAAAATAAATCTATGAAGCTAGAAATCAAAGGGAAAAAAGGCAATCATTAATTCCAGGAAAAACACGTCACATTAAAAAAAAATGAGGGATACAGTTTGGTTGAGAAGTAAACTCTGGTTTTAGAGGCTTTATGTAAATAGTAATTATTGATTTAACTATCATGAGCTTTAATTCTGCTTGGAAGACAGTTGGGGTACACAAACATATGGACACTTAATTTTCACCTACCAAAACAGAAAGCAAACAGATAATGCTTACAACAGTAAATTAAGAAATAGCCCTATAAATTAGAAATATGCAGGGTAAATATATGAAGAATGCACAAGGAGCTTCAAGGGGATTTTTGAAAGAGGTTGGACAGGAAAAACATATCTGCAGCTTTTTGTCACAAACCTCTTGTAAGTTACTAGTTTTAACTACTTGTTTTTAATCATGTATATAAATTATTTTACCTAAAAAAGTGAAATGTCTCCAGAAACATATGGAACAATACTCCCCTTTAGTCACCAAGAAAATGAAACTCTACGCCACCATGCTATGTCCATGGGAAAGGCAACAAACATGGGCACCTATGTGGCATTGCCAGTTCTCCTGACTCAGGCAGGACAGCCCTCCCAGGGGATCTTCCCTGGAAAGCTAACAGCAGACGCCCATCCCAGTGCCCTTGATTCTCCTCCATGACCCTGTCTGTATGTGCACCAGTACATGCATGGTTTGCTCTGCAGTACGTAGCTGGGATACCCCCAAATGTCCACCACAGGCAACAAGGTGATCTATTTTTGCAGTGGACACTGCTTGGTGACTGAAAACCAGCCCAGCTACTCACAGCAACTCAGGTATTGTTGATGAGTGAGATATTGCTGAGAAAATTAAGCAAATTAAGAAAATAGGAGTATAAATGTAACAAAAGACAAAGATAATGTTTATCAAGTACAGTTTTAAAAAATGGAGTCCCTCAGAGCTCTTCTGTGACCACAACCCTAGTTTAGCAGTGAATGTCTACTGGATGTGTCACAGCAGTATTTCTCACACAGTTTTCAACAGACAAACGTATTTAATGCTATTCACTTATGTTGAAATTATTTTAAAAAATGATGAGATGCCATATGACCCAGCAATCCCACTACTAGGTATATACCCAAAGGACACAAAAGGACACCTGCACCCCCATGTTTATTGCTGCTCTATTTACAATAGGGGAGAATGAAATCAACCCAAATGATGAAAAATAGAAGACTGGATTAAAGAGATGTGGTACATATACACAATGGAATATTACTCAGCAATCAAAAAGGATAAACTCATGCCTTTTGCAGCAACATGGATGGAGCTGGAAGGGATCATGCTTACTGAAATAAGACAGAAAGAAAATGAAAAAAAAAAAAAAACCCACAAAACAAAACAAACAGCAACAAAAAAAACAACCAGATGGTTTCACTCAGAGCAGGAGTGTACGGAATGGGGGGCAGGGCGGGGGGAAGAGAGAAAACAAACGTAATAGAGTAAAAATGAAAACAATGAACAACTATAAACAGAGACACTTTATGGGGGTGGGAGGGGGAATGGGATTGCAACTGGGGTGGGAAGAGTGCACTGAACTGTGGTGAGTTGGTGGTGGGAGGCCCATGGGGAGATGGAAAAA